TAACCATTTATAACGACCTATTCCCCAGCAGGAGAGGGGAAGAAGAGGAGGTAGAAGAGGGGGAGGAGGAGGCGGGTGAACCATAAAGTCATTGAGAGAGAGAGTATCATGAAGGTATTGTTCGCCATGGTGGTGTGGTGAAAGGGATCTGTGGGAAGGAGGGGCGTGGGGGGAGGGAAAAGTAAATTAGTGGACGCGAGGGAGAGAAAGAGTAGTAGAAAGGAAGAGAAGAATAAAGGGAGGGAGGGAGGGAAGAGTAGAGGGGGAAGGGGAAGAGTAAGGGAGGGAGGGAGGGGGAGGAAGGGTGAAAGTGAGGGAGGGAGAGAAAGGGACTGCCGGATGCTGAGGCTCATAAAGTAAGTGCCCCCGGCCCATCATCTCTACCTCTCTCTCCCCTCCCTCCTCCCTCCCCCCAAACCATCCCTACTCCTCTAGCCCAAACCTTACCTTTCTTTACTCCCTCCTCCCCAATCCTTCCCTCCATCTCCAAGCTTTCTCTTCCTCTGCATCCATCCAATACCCTTCTTCCATCATCCTGATCCTCCCCTCCTCCTCCTCCCCCCTCTCCCTCCTCCTCCTCTCCCCTCCTCCTCCTCCCTCCCTCCTCTCCTCCCCTCCTCCCCCCTCCTTCCTCCCTCCCTCCCTCCCCAACACCGAAACAATAGATGCAAATATAAATCCCTCTCATCACCATCACAATAATAATAATAATAATAATAATAATAATAATAATAATAATAATAATTCACCAAGGTCTTCAGAACGTATTCAAGCCTCATGACGATTTTTTTTTGTTTACTAATATTTAACAGTGAAGAAACATTTCATTAAGAGGGGAGGGGAAGGGAGGGGGGAGGGAGGGGAAGAGAAGGAAGGGGAGAGGGGAGGAAGGGAAGGAAGGGGGAGGAGAGGAAGGGGTAAGAGGGGGAGAAGCTTCCACACCACACTACCTCCGAGTTTTAATTACAGTTTCTCGTTGTACTTCGTCAGGAGGAATAAGCTTCAGGCAGTGGCTACACACACCTGCAGTATCAAAAACATCTTCCTGGAGAACTTATTGCTAAAGCAAAGTAAAATTACCCGAGAAAAAATACTCTTAGTGCCTGAAATACACGTATGTATAGTGTGTGTGTGTGTGTGTGTGTGTGTGTGTGTGTGTGTGTGTGTGTGTGTTTGAGAGAGAGGAGGCAGCATTATGACCCTATAGTTGCTACATTAAGTCTCCCAGATCCACGAATATCACCCCAGATCGTCTTCATCTCCCCACATACACACGCCCTCCTCCCACGTTTACCAACTCCTTCTACACACACACACACACAACCGTCTCAACCCTGCCTGCCTCTTTAACCGCCACACATCGTCTTCTCCAAAACATCTTCATTGTCCCTCCGTCTTCCCCCCCAAAAAAGAGTAACCGTCCAGATCCTTTTGCTCATAACCCAAGTATTGCTTTCATTATCTCCATCCTACACCTCGTTTCTTCCTCCCTCTCTCTCTCTCTCTCTCTCTTCCTCTACACTATCGAGGTATCTTCTTCCCGTATGCGGCTCATATACGTCATACAACTTGGCCATACAGACGCACAAACGTATAATTTTAAGATCTCAATACGAGGCTTCTCCTTCTTGAGCCCCTTACCTCACCTCTCAACCCCCCCCCCTTCGGCATCTCAAGACCAACATCCGGTACTATTGATGTTCGGTGTATCGTGCAACAATCGCCACGCAGCTCGGCCGACGACGCGGTGGGGGTTCCTGTCCTCCTCGCCACACACACACACAATCTGCATATCTACCCTCCATGTGGCTCTCGATAATGCCTGAGCCTGTGTAGGTCTTCATAACCACAGCCCCGACGACCTGCCTCCTGTTCTTTCCTCCATGGGGTGGTGGGGGGGGGGGTGAGGTGAGGGGTGAACGAGGGGGTTAAAAGGACCGTCTAGGACCACCCCCTGCGATACTCTACCACCAGCACGAGACTTCACTGCGAGGCCACGACAAAACTCCCCTAAAACCGAGAGGCCACGACGAGAACACACCCGGAAAAAAAAAGACTACCACCACCACCACCAGCAGACATCACCGCGACACCACCAGCGCCCGTGTCCCCTGAGCTTGGTGAGGCAGATCATCCGGCATGACATTATGATCTCACTAAAAACGTTCCCCCTAGACGACGGTGATGGGAGAGCACACGCTTCGGTCTATAGGTTCCTGAGACCAATGGCCCCTCATAAACACTTCTCCACGCTGTGTAATAAACCATCGCATTATATCTTCACACTTCAGCTGCCTAGTTATAAAAACAAAATATATATCTACCTCCTCCTCCTCCTCCTAACACTGTACTGACTGATGGAAGAAACACGTAAAACATCATCTTTATCAGTCCAGCTCAAGGTATAGGAGAGTGGCTGTCAGTATCCGTCCACAGTTCCATTCCCATTTCCTTCCCAGAATGCAATTTATTTCCCTTAAAAGTTTCTCCTTCTTCCCGTCTTCTCTGAATGTCCTCCCCCCCCCCCCTACGTCTCCTCCACACGCGTCCCTCCGTCCCCAATATACCCCGTACCCGACCGACCGTCCCAGGCGACCACGGGTATACTGTACAACCTATAATTCGTATAACCCGGCTCGCTTCTCCACTTTCCCGGGGTAAGTGGCTAAATTATGACCAGTCACCGTATAATTGTGCGCGGCTCAGACTGTGGCCGTAGATGGATGGAGGAAATTCCGACTTACACAACATTTACAGACAATAACGACTGAAAGAAACTGACAAGACCACAGCCGAATGACGTGAACAAATTATGCCGTAGTGTTGGACATAAATCCAGAGAGAGAGAGAGAGAGAGAGAGAGAGAGAGAGAGAGAGAGAGAGAGACAAACTACACTTAATATTATCACCACGAAAAAAAAAGATGAAAACAAAGTCAGTGTCACCGGATGTGTTCGTGTCTTAACAACAGCGGCGCCACAACTAATTTGGCTCTGTAAAGGTCAAAAACGAAAGGACCTTAACAACTAGAAACCAAGAATCAACACAAGACAGATTTACTCAAAACAACCAGACCGCAATTACTTACATTAAAAAATAATTGAGAAGCGGGGAGCAGGTCATTACAAACAGTGTGTGTGCGTGTGTGTGCGTTGCGTGTGTGAGTTGCGTGTGTGAGTTGTTTGTGCGCGCGGTCGTGTGTGTATGTGTGCGCGCGCGCTCTTGATAATTGCCCAAGAAATTCTTGGGGCAATACCTAACACTGAACAACCAATCACCATCAGAATCTCCCAAGTTGCATGTCATCCATTCACCAATCACGAGCCAGCTTTACCACATGGATGACGACGGTGCATGGCCTGAGGTGTGGTTAGGTTAGGTTAGGTTAGGTTTCCTCTCTCACACCCACCCCACCCTGACTCGCTTGGCTGGGGGCGGCAGGGTCACCTCGGAAGGAAACTCAAGAGGCAAAGGTCACACACACACACACAGGTAGAGGCCACACCTGTACTGAGCTGCACACTGAACCGACACTCAAACAACCCTGTTACTGCCTCCTTGACAGAGAGAAAAGAGAAAAAAAGAGAGATAAGAGAATCCCGGTGAAGTAGAAAGCTTACGTGGCGGAGTAACGAGGTGAGGGAGGCAACCAAGAGAGAACGAGGCTATTAGTTAGTTAGCTCATTAATTACCAGATCCACACACACACATACACACACAAAATATCAAACGCGACAAGTGGCGGGCTGGCGGGGGAGGGGGGGGGTAATAAATCACCTCACCTGGAGATTTACCGAGGTGGGTAATCCTTTATCCCCGGATTACTTTACGTGGTGGTGAAGGATTGCTTACCTGAGTCTACCTGGATATTTTTTAGGCATTGCGTCGAAGATATCATCATTATAACTATTATCATCATTATAATTATTATCATCATTACTATCATTAATATTATTGTTTTCTATTTAATTAATTAATCCTGCATATCCTAAAGCGTGTGTTCCTCCTCTGACCTTACACTCTACCCGTTCGTCTCCCAGGGCTAAGGGGCTTCCGCAGGGGTGTGTGGTATATGAGGAGGAAGAAGAGTGGGATAAGTAAGGGAAGGAGGGAGGGAGGAAAGAAGGAAGGAGGGAAGGAAAAAGGGAAGGAAAAAGGAAGGAAGGAAGGAGGAAAGAAGGAAGGAAGGAAGGAAGGAAGGAAGGAAGGAAGGAAGAACGGAAGGAAGGAAAGGAAGGATGGAAGGAAGGAAGGAGAAAAGAAAGGAAGGCATGGAAAAGGGAAGGAAGGAAAAAAGGAAGAAAAGGAAGAAAGGAAGGTACAACAGTCACAAATTCAGCCCATAAGAGCCCGCACCGATAGATATAAGAACAGCACCATCCCATCTATTGTTAAAATAATAAACAACTCCTGATTTATGTACTGTACAGCCCTGTAAATGTATTCAAAACATATTATATCATTGTCTAATTCAAATGTAAGTCTGTATATTTTCAGTCACCGGCTGCAACTCTATTAATAAACCGTTTATTATTATTATTATTATTATTATTATTATTTATATATATATATATATATATATATATATATATATATATATATATATATATATATATACCCAACAGGTAACACATATACCTAACATGGTCACTTATATACCCAACATGGCCACATATATATAGCCAGAGAGGAAAAGGTTTTGAAAACTTTATATACTTTCAACATTATGTAACCAATGGATCGATATTTACGAGTAATAAGTATTTTTTTTTAATTCGTCGTAAGAAACAAAAAATGGTAGTAAAATGTTAAAATTGGTAAAAATAATAAAAACTAAAAAAACATGTATATAAATAATGAGAAAAGATGTCATTCTTTAAGGGTGATAATTACAGTAAGTAAGGACACGTAATGTAATTAGTCACTCTGCTTCACACACGCATACACAGATCACGTACACACACGCACACACAGATCACGTACACACACAGAACACGTACCGGACTTGCGCTTGATGGTGTTATTGTTGGTGATGGTGACACTCTTGCTCTTCTTGATCCTCAGCGACCGACGCATCGAGCGCACGAAATTGTCGCCGTACTTCATCTTGGCGACAGTCGTTCCTCACGTACCCACTACACGTACAGTACAAGGCCCTGGCCGCTACTACTGTCTCACGTACAGAACAACAACGCCAGTTCAGTTCACGCACACGGTCGCTCTAGTCACTGTATTCGCCAATTCTCTTCACTGTCCGTATCAAGTACTGAATGTGGGTACACGTACACACTGGCTAATACTCCTCACCACACACCATAAGTACACTGTAATCCTCCTCGTACACTGTAAGAATCCAAGACCAGCCGTACAAATATTTACACTTCCTCGCTGGCCACTTTATAGAGACCCAAGACTAGAATGAGACACACTCCGGACACGGATATAGTGGGAGTCCGCGGGGTGATAGATTGTGGTGGATGGGCGTGGTGGTGGGTGTTGACTAGAGGGATGTGGGCGTGGATGGGGAGGTCCACCTGGCCACCTCTGGTACTGACTAGAATAGAGGATGAAGCCTGCTGAGTGTGTCCTCACATGGACACCACGCAGGCGACGTCTCTGGCTGCTGCTGCCCACTCAGCTCCGCGGTCCATCTGCTCGCTGACACAAATCCACAAAGTTTCCCAAATGTTGTCTGACTGACAGCACTGAGTATTTCAGCAGTTACTTTGTTAACGATGGCCGAGCAGGTAATTATCCATCCACAGGTAGGTAATGAGCCTGGGTGTGAGGGGGGGTGAGGGCGGCGGGCAGGTGGCGGCTGTAGACACTCATGGTTGGGGCGGACTCGAGGAACACAGCGTTACGTGTGTCCACCACCGCTGTCAGCCGACGACTGAGGCAGCTCACCCAACCCAGCCAGTCCCTGCAGCCTCCCCGAACTCTCGCCTGTCTGCCCCGCACCCAACACGCACACGCACCCACTCACGCACGCGCTTCCATCCACTCTACACTCAACACCACATTAGTCGTACACTGAAATACCGAACCGATCATTATCCTATGCACTAAATTTTGACTGCCAGTAACCGGCCCCCTACGTGAGAATTATTAAACAGTACTAGACAGTTAACTGGAGCGTCATGTTGATGTTGTGACTGTGAGAGCGGTGATGGAGGGGGGGGGGTAACACGCTAGGAATGTTATCTATAAAGGCGATAACAACGGTAGTCACGAGGCATTACTTACACACGTACACACACACAGTTGGCTACCGAGTAAATAAACAACAACGGGCGTAAAACCTAACCTAACCTACAAGGACAACTACGACACCTGGATAATAACAACAGCTCTTCGTCTTCACCAGAGGAGTAAAAGTAAAAGATGAATAAACTCACAAATAATAAGCAAATAAATAAATAATGGAGGGATAAAAAATAAACCGAAGAAAAAGAAGAAACAAATAAAAAAAAGGAAAAAATTCAACTTATAAACTGAATAACTTAACTTAATTTATCTTTTAAGTCAGCAGTTGCCAATATCTCTCTCACCCACTCACCCACCCACCCCTTCTTTCCCCCCACCCCTTCCCCGGCTACCCCCCTCCCATCAATCCCCTCCTACCATCCGCCCCATCTCCCATTACCCCCACCCAGATCCCCGGGAGTGAGGCATGGCGAGGTGGTTGGGGGAGAGGTGTGTGTGGGGAGAGGTGTGGGGAGTGCAAATTATCCCTGGGTACGGATTCTCTCAGATTATGTTACGTCAATTTTCCTCCTTAAACGTGCATTAAGAGAAGGTATAGAGTCTCAGCGTAAATTGAATGACATTTTAGCCGGGATTTCTGTTGCATTTAAAGCCTTCCAAGTGAGGTAGTCAGATGCGTCCTTACATGTCACATACAGTTAAAAGGAAAATCTACCCTAAGAGAAAGTTTTAATGAGATATTTGTCTTAGATGAAAATTGAACTTAAAATTTCTGCTCTGAAGGTGAAAATGGTTCTTAAAATTTTTGTCTCGGGTGAAAATTGGACTTCAAATTACCCACCAATAAATAACTATGGAGGTGTAAATATCACTTTGGGCGGCTAGTTTTGTACCCTAACACGAGTGATGGACCAGTTAGGTTAGGTGATTCTTCGCCAATCAGAAGTGACCTCATCAACAGTGAAAGAGAATATTTAACTTAGGAGCCTGTGTGAGTCCGTGCCTCTCTCTGTCTCTCTCTCTCTCTCTCTCTCTCTCTCTCTCTCTCTCTCTCTCTCTCTCTCACAAGATGGGCGCCTGAGATCAAAGACTAACTTTCCCTGGGATTCTCTGGAGGGGGTGGGCGTCATTTCCCTCCCCCAGTGAAGAAACACCTTCACTCACCATCACCACACCTCCACAACCGTCACCATCCCTCCATTACCACCAAATAAGAGAGAATTGCATTTCTAAAAAGTTACCTGCAAGGACACATAATTATCGCACTAAAAATTCGAGAGAGAGAGAGAGAGAGAGAGAGAGAGAGAGAGAGAGAGAGAGAGAGAGAGAGAGAGAGAGAGAGAGAGAGAGAGAGAGAGAGAGAGAGAGAGAGAGAGACAAATAAAAGAAAGAGAGAGAGCAATACCCACTAAGTGTCACAAGCCCAGGTCTCGTTCTGTTGTTGCCTCTCTGTACCTCACCAACCAAGCGTCCCTCCTGAGCCATATTTTGACGGCAGCTGAGTAATGGTGTCTTTCTGGTGCTCGTTTACATGACCCCTTGTCGCCCCCTGTTGGAGGAGAATAGGGGAGGAGGAGGAGGGGTGGACTAATTAACGTCAGGGGGGGGGAGAAGAGGAGGAGGGTTGGGGGGAGGAGGAGGAGATGGGTAGGTGGGATGGGAGGAGGTGGGGAGTAGTAGGTAGGGAGGGAGGGGTGGGGGTGAGGGAAGGGTGGGTGGGGGGCAAATGGGAGAGGGTGGAGAAGGAGATATCTATATAGAGGGTGGGAATTGGGATGTAAGAGGTGGGGTCGATGTTGGGGTAAGGGGAACTGGTAAGGGGGGATAAGGGTGAGAGTGTGGGTGAAGGTGGTGGTCGTGGTGACAAGAATAAGAACACATGGAGGTGATAAGGGAAGGGGTATGAGCGAGGGTATCCTATGAGTGAGGGTATCCTATGAGTGAGGGTATCCTATGAGTGAGGGTATCCTATGAGCGAGGGTATCCTATGAGTGAGGGTATCCTATGAGTGAGGGTATCCTATGAGTGAGGGTATCCTATGAGTGAGGGTATCCCATGAGTGAGGGTAACCTATGAGTGAGGGTATCCTATGAGTGAGGGTATCCTATGAGTGAGGGTATCCTATGAGCGAGGGTACCCTATGAGTGAGGGTATCCTATGAGTGAGGGTATCCTATGAGCGGGGGTATCCTATGAGTGAGGGTATCCTATGAGCGAGGGTATCCTATGAGTGAGGGTATCCTATGAGCGAGGGTATCCTATGAGCGAGGGTATCCTATGAGTGAGGGTATCCTATGAGTGAGGGTATCTTATGAGGATTACCACCAATAACAAAGGTCAAACACCCCGGTCGCCGCCTCCTCCTCCCTCAGGTGCCCGTCACACTGTCAGGGCGAAGGAGGGAGGAAGGAAGAGAGAGGAACTACCAAGAGCTACACCACACCTGCACCTCCGCCTGTGTGGGGGCGACTGTGGGCGACTGTTTTGGCGTTGACGTGTAGGTGTGGAGAGGCCGGGCTGGCGGGACAGGTATGGCCACTCTCGCTGTTGTTTATGTGGCCATGAACCTTCTTCGGTCTACTGTGGTGGCCAGCAACACTAATTACCGTGGCTAAAAATAACCACCGCAGTCATGTTTTGTGGCCACGATATCTAGTTGTGGCCATAAATCACCCTCACTCTAGGTGGCCATAATCACCGTCATTATAGTTAGCGTGACCATAATCACCGTCGCTATAGTTACCTCACCTATAATCCCCAACTCTATAATCAGTATTGCCAATCTTCCCCCAATACCGTAATCAGTGTTGCCATAATTCCTCCAGGTTCAGCCGTGGACACTGTTGACGACCCGCGACAGGACGACAAACTATATCCCGAGTATACCAAGATGGAGAGACGAACATCATTAACCATTACACGAAACGAGTTGCCTCAGGCTACTCCCCACCGCCGGCGTACACCTGTCTTACACCTGGGGGAACGGAGGAGCGTGATTGAACAGGTGGGTAGCGGGACGTCAGATGGCTAGTGACCAACACACAGAAGAAAATCACTGTGTGTGTGTGTGTGTGTGTTTGTGTGTGTGTGTGTGTGAGGAGAGTGAGTGAGTGAGTGTGTGTGTGTGTGTGTGTGTGTGTGTGTGTGTGTGTGTGTGTGTGTGTGTGTGTGTGTGTGTGAGTGAGTGAGTGAGTGAGTGTGTGTGTGTGTGTGTGTGTGTGTGTGTGTGTGTGTGTGTGTTTGTGTGTGTGTGTGTGTGTAAAACTCCACATACGTCAGCACACAAGCAATACATCACGTTATTCAAGCCAAGTCCTAACACTATATCAGGCTGGCATGATAGAACCTCACTTTAACAGTCAGTATAAATGATACTCCTCCTTTAAATGTATTGTAAACCAAATACCGCGATAAATGAGACTCAATCAGCTGTTGGTGAAGGAGAACTGAGGCTACAGGGAGGCTTCAGCTGTCACAAGGAAGCCTCAGCTGCCCCAGGGAAGCCTCAATTGCCCCAACGGAAGCCTTAGCTGCCCCAGAGAAGCCTCATCTGCCCCAAAGGAAGCATCGCCTGCCCCAAGAGTAACACACACTCACAAGGAACATCAAAACACGCAGAAGTAACTCAGTTGTCCTTCAGATGACCAGATGGTAAATAAATTGGCACTGTGTGTAACTCCTTCACTTGTCTTCTATCACACTATGACTCGTTGCTCTCGTGTGTGTGTGTGTGTGTGTGGTTCCTCTCCTTATTGCCCCCAACCAAAAAACAAACAACTGAAGTCCATAATCACTTGACGATATCATAATATAAATACAATCAATAAAATAAAATAATAATGTTTCACCTTTCACCCTCCCTATCTAACAGTAAGGCGGACAGTGCAATAATTACGATTAGGTTAGGTTAGGGTAGGTTTAATTCCCATTATAATACAGTCGACTCGTCACAACCACACAGTCTGGCTTAGAACTGGTGTTGAGTCACATAAGAAAGAAAGTTTAAAATTTTGTTAATTACCGGTACGCCATAACACGACATATCATTATATCTGTGTCTCCGTTAAAGGCAAGTTGTGATGGTCTTTAGTTACGGTGCACACGAGCTGTCAGAGGAGCGCTGATAAACACGGTGTTAACAACTACACGCTCAACAGACATACAATACCCGTTACTGTATTTACCTTCAGTATCTGTATAAGCTCACCTCGTGGTCATTTACATCCAGGTAAACACGCCGACACGGAGCTTAAGAAACACACACTGCCGATTCTACCTGGAAAATTTACGGTCACTCAGGTGAGGTACAGACTTGTCACGGTCCATTACCTGCTAATTACAGTACAGGTAAACAAATGGTCACACCACAACCTTATTAACCCAAGTCGATGTTTACACAGACCAGGTAATGAGCAGGTAAGAGGGCGGTGAAATAAAGACGTCGACATAATGTGTTCTTAATTAGGATGAACGCTGTCTTGAGGTTAACACACACACACACACACACACACACACACACACACACACACACACACACACACACACACACACACACACACACACACACACACGCGAGTTCCCTTCACCTCACACAAGCAAATAAGTAACAATCCATCGATCTACTTAACATTTACTTGTATGTAGGTATGTATGTATGTACACACACACACACACACACACACACACACACACACACACACACACACACACACACAC